ACAATAATGAGCTACTAAACAGCTTGGCAATTTGGATGAATCTCTAGACAGTTATGCTTAGTGCAAAAAGTTAGTCTAAAAGTTATTCTATGAGTATGTTTGTGTAACTTTTCAGAGTCACAAAATTATAGGAGAAAAGTAATGGATGCTAAATATTTATGAAGTCACCGTGGATGCCATCACAGGTTGTATGGACCACGTGCACTAGCTTAGGCTTGCAGTGCTCTAGAAATGACAGATGGTAGGAGAAAGTAAGAAAGGAAAGAATCAAGATTAATGCCTATATTTTTCTAGAGAAGTATGTTTGCTGTGTCTGGAACACTAAAACTTTCCCTAGTTGTTGTAGATATGGGTTAGTTGACCCTGGCTTACTACTGACTTTATGAAGGGCATCTTACTCCAGAGGATGAGGATACCAGGATTTGCATTCCCAACCTCTCTTGCTGTTAAGCCATTGGCTTAATCTTGTCTCTACTTTTTTACTTTAAGCAAATGCACCTGTCAGCATTGTTGGAATGTTGGGAATTTGATAGCATTTCTGTACTGTGGTGACTGTGAGGTTGCATGTTCATGGGTCAGCATGGAATGGAATCCAGTAGTTTGCACCGAAACACAGATGTCTGTTGTCCACTACTTAGCAGTAGCATCTGTACTGGCCACTTGGGTTAGAACTTTAGACATAGAATTCTGGCCTTTCTGTGTAACTTTCACCTTCATGGGTTTATTCAGCAAATTAATGGCCAGAGATGTTAAAATGAGAACATTGTTCTTAACTGAGCTTACAGCCAAGTTGGAGAGTTGATTATCTGAAGAGACAATTATAGCTTTCCACTACATCTCCAGTCTTGAAAGGCCATTGTGATGGCGTGTACACAGTTCAGAGGAGGAAACCCAGCTTTGTGGGTAGAGAAGGCTTTCTGAAGGATAAGGGGTATGTGTTGGCACCTAAAGGGTGAGTCAGGTACAGAGTCAGAGTGGGAAAAGCATTCCAAGTACAAAAGGCAGACAAAGGCCAGAAGATGTCGTCTGTCCCTGAGAACTGGCAGCATGGTTTGTCAGAATGGCAGCCAGTGTAGGCATGGTGGGAGAGCAAGTGAATTCTCTTTTGTTTGTTTGTTTCTTCTGGCAGTACTGGGCCCTGTGCCTAGGATCTCACTCCTGCTAGACAGGTGCTGTGTCACTAAGCTACATACAGTACTAGGTCTGGCTCTGGGACTATCTCCTGAAGGGCCTCATGCATTAGCTTGAGAAGAGTGGGAACCTTTGAAGGATTCTCAGGAGTGAAGTCATTGCCCTGTAGATTTGAATCTTGCCTGGCTGGCTGAGAGTAGAAGACTCTGATAGCTAGTCTTGGACTGTAAAATTTCCCAAGTTAGCTTACATCTATTAGGATTAGGGTTGCCATGTGATGCCCAGGGTCTGAAAGCCATGTGTCTTGCTTGCTCTTCAGGGATCTGTCCTGAAAGTGCAGCTCTTGCTTCAGACACACAGTGTGGTTACTGTTGTGAATGGCTGTGACTAGAAACATCTTTCTTCAATAACAAGTGCCATATTTCTCAGGGCTGGGGTGCACAGACCCAACTCTTACTCTAATAGTCACAGTGACCCACATGAGTCCTCTGTGTTCCAAGGTGGATTGTATCTTTGCAAAATATGAAATTTCTTAAAAGCTGTCCCTGAGATTACCAACCCTAACCCTAGTTTTCAGTTTGCTCAGTACTCTATTCTTGCTATTTGGACTTGGTGCAGCCTTACACTTTCAAGAAAAAGATCCCAAACATTTTTGCAAGTGTCATAACAGTTTGAGAACAAGAGAAATATATGTAATAATTTTCTAGTAGATAAACAATTTTACATTTGCCAGCCTCCTAAAATTTAATTTTCAGATAGAACTTATTTTTCTTTGGAGTTAAAAAGAACATTTCCTCATATAACAAGCCCTTTTAAGAAATAAAACTTACTTCAAAACTCATTTTAAAACCATTTTGATGTTTTGTAGTTGTTTTGAAATTATCTTTATTTTGTATATTGTCTTCAAGGAAAATAAGCTGGATGATACAGAAAAGCATGGAGAATATAAAAGTCACTTTACTGTCAAATGAAATGCTCATTGATTGTGTGTGTATGAAACAACTTCATTTTATAAAGTTAATGTTGAATTATTTTAAATTATGCCTTTTCCCTCTTCAGATTCTAATGTTCCCATTTAGTTGCAATTGAGTGAAATCAGGATTTTAAATACTTTATAGCAATTTCATTGCATATAACTTGATGTGACTTGTTTATTTTTTGTTACTCTGCAAAATACCAGTGTTGGCTCCTTCTGTATAACAGGGAAAATAGTTTTATCCCATAGTTCTGGACCCTTAACAGTACTACAACAGCATCTGGCTTCTGGTGGCAGCATATCCTGGCAGGTGGCATTATAATGGGAGCACATGTAAATATGCAAAGTCACATAGTGACAGATGACTGGAAGAAGGAGCAGGCTTCCCTCTGATAGCAAACCACTCTTGGGAGAACTAATTGAATTCAATGAGACTAATTCCACCCAATGAGGATGAATTGATCCATTCAAGTAAAGCCTCCATGGCATCATCACATTCTACTATGTCCTCCTGTCAAGGTGTCAGTCACCTCTAAATTTCAGCACCCTGAGGACCCAGCTTCCAGTCGGAGCCTTTGGGAGACAAACTACACCTACACCATAGCACACAGACATTTTTTTGCTAATCATTTGTAGTATGTTGTAAACACTCTATAAATAGACACACACACTTGGAAGTAAAAACCATGAAACAGAAGCAGCCTAAGAGGCAGGTGGTAGAGCAGAACTTGAACTTTTCATTGTTGGAAGTCCCAATAATCTCCTGCTTAAAATTTCAAACCAAGTAGGGCTTATCATTTTTGAAATATGATCTTTGGAGGGGAGCATTAGGAGTACTTACTGCTCTTGCAGAGGATCCCAGTTCTGTTCCCAGTATCCAGTTCAGAGGAACAGACACACTCTTCTGGTCTCTGTGGGCATTTGAATATACACAGCATATATACTCACAGAGACAGACACATAAAGATAAAAGGAAATCTTTAAAACCTGGCTGGTGAGATTTCTATAACACACACACACACACACACACACACACACACACACACACACACACACACACACACACACACACACGAGGTGGTGAGATTGCTTAGTGGGTAAAGGCACATGGTATCAAACCTGACAACCTGAGTTCAATTCTCAAGACATACATGGTGGAAAAGAGAAACAATTCCTATACCTCCAGACATGTGCTGTGGCATAGGCATGTCCATGTACATACTCAAACACATAATAAATACATATAATAACATAATTTAAAATACCAATACATCATTGCAAACCCCCCATTGCTTTTTCAAGACAGGGTTTCTCTCTATAGCCCTGGCTGTCCTGGAACTAGCTCTGTAGACAGCCTGGCCCTAAACTCAAAGAGTTACCTACCTCTGCCTCTGAAGTTCTGGGATTAAAGGTGTGGGTACCACTGCCCAGATTTTTATTATTATTAATTCTTTTTAATGTGTATTGGTGTTTTGCCTGCATATCTATCTGTCTATATGTGAGAGTATGTCAGATTCCCTGGAACTGGAGTTACAGACAGTAGTGAACTACCATGTGGGTGCTGGGAATTGAATCCAGGGCCCTATGAAGAGCAGCCAATGCTCTTAACTACAGAGCCATGTCTCCAGTCCCATTGCCTTTCTCTTTAGAGCCACATTTTGTTTTGTTTTGGAACAGTGTTCACTCTGTAGCATGGGCTAGACTAGAACTCACTATACACCCTGGGATATCCTTAATTTCGGACAGCCTTCTGCTCCTGCCTCATCAATCTCAGTATCATAGTATGAGTCACCATACCTGGCTTCTTTACAGCTGTTTGGATGATGCTATAGTGGTACCTCCTTTGTCAACTATCATTGTCTTCTCTCCATTTCCATGACTGCTGCCAACGTTATTTACATGGCCATTTCAGATTCATGTGAAAAGAATCAAGTAACCCCAAAAGTGTCCTTAGTAGCACAATGTGAAGCATGTATTTGGAATGAGTTCCTGAGAAAGCTGGGTGCAGAATGCAAATATTTTGAATGGACTTATCTTAGAGTTGTACTGCTTTTTTTCCTTGTCATTTTAAAACCCTTAATACGAATAAATTGTTTGCATAGTGGGCTTTAAAAAAAAAACCCATAGATAAGAAACACATAGTTTGAAAGCAGAGAATAAAAACATGAATGATAATGGATGTAACGCCCAGGGAAGGTTCTTGCTGCTGCTGCCAGGCAGACCTTATAATCGGCTGTTTTCTGTGTTTATTTCGGGATACAGATACTGGATAAAAGAGGCTGGTTGGTTGCCAGCATATGACTTAGTTGCCAAATGGAGTGTTTAGCACTTGTTGCCTATGACTTATATCACAAGTTCTTCCCATTAACGGTCTGCTGGTGATAACCTACTTGGCTTTTCATGTGGTCACTTTGAAACAGCCACTTGACAACATTGGGTATATCACAACGTTTCTTGCTGAATAAAGGAGTGAGTGAATGACTGTGTGGGCTCTGCCATATAATGATAGGCTTTCTAGTAAAGAATGGGAACCCACTCAGCCCCTGCTTAGTGAATGAATTAATCCTGTGGGAAAGTTTTTCTGGCTCATTGTGGCAAGGTGTATGGACTTGAACCTTAAAAGTATGATTAAATGGGTAGAAACGTAGGAGAAATAATAGTATTTAAATGTTGATGGGCTTGCATTTATACAGTGAACAATATTCTGCTTATAAATAGAAAACTGAGTTAAATGTTTTAAAGTCTCAAATTTTCTTGATTCCAAGTCAAATGCAATCTCATAATACCAGTGGTGTTCATAATATCTGGTCTTAACAAAAATGAGATGGCTTTAAGAATCTTGGTTTTGATTACTTATAAAATATATATTAAATATGTTAATCTTTATTTTTAGATTGAAAACTTGCAAGAACAACTTAGGGATAAGGACAAACAACTAACCAACCTGAAAGACAGAGTGAAGTCCTTGCAGACAGATTCCAGCAACACGGACACTGCTCTGGCCACACTGGAGGAGGCCTTGTCAGAAAAGGTGAGTTTAGCCTCCAAAACAGGGATTCAGAATTAAAAAAAAAAAAAAAAAAAAAAAAAAAAAAAAAAAAAAAAACAGTATTGGGAGGTGTTCATCCAAGTGCACGAAAATAGATCTTCATTTCCCTATCCCCACACTGCCTCTAGTCCCACCTGGTCCTCAGAATTTTATGCTAGCCAGGAGACAGGCACACCATGGCCACAGGCATTATCTTGAAACTCAAAAACAGCATCACCCTTGGCTGTTTGGAAAAGCATCCAATAGCTTTTTGGTGATAAAACTCAGCCTACTCGGTAGGGTTGCCTATCCTTCCTGTAAGGCCCCTTTTTGGACAGTATCTTTGCCTCCCGCTTGTCTCTTCCTCACATCTCTGTGCTCTAGCTTTGTTGGTCCTCTAAATTTCAAGTGTGTCATGTTTTCTTATGCCTCCATTACTTTGCATTTGCTCTTACTTGCTTAGGATGAGATTTTCTATGGGAAGATTTAATTCTGCTGAGTCTTCCTGAAGGTTATGTTATACAGTAGTCAAGAATGTGAACTCAGCAGATAGCTGTGTGAGTTCAAATCTTAGGTTCAGTACTCACTATTCAGGGTGAGTTAGCCTCTGAGTTCCTCAGTTTCTTTACCTGTGAAATCAGGGCAATAAAAGTCCCTACCTTGCTGGGTGGTGGTAGCATACACCTTTAATCACAGCACTTGGGAGGCAGAGGCAGAAGATCTGTGTGAGTTTGAGGCCAGCCTGATCTACAGAGCAAGTGCCAGGACAGGCTCCAAAGAGCTACACAGAGAAACCCTGTTTCACAAAACAAACACACATAAAAAAAGTCCTACCTTAATGAATTATGTTATAATGAGGAGAGAATGTGTTTAGAGCAGTTGAGGGGAATTATAGTTGCCATTATTATTTCATGGGCCATTTCTGTAGAGACACGATATTGGTGCACCCCTCCTTACTGAAATTGCAACTCTTTGTGCATCTGTTTTAATGGGATTGACTCGCTCTTTATGCTGGATTCCAAACCAAGAAAGAAGTCAGAGAGGGGTACAGGACCACGTTACTTGATGGAGGTGGGATGAGCCATGAGTCCTTCTGCAAGACCACAGGTACAAGGCAGAAGGGAGAACAAGGAGATTGGGAAGAAGTCAGTTTTAACATCTCTCAGGGGCTTGTAAGAAAGTGTCTTAAAACTTGGATTTTTACTCTTTTTTGGAATAGAAAGTCAAGCTTTCATTCTGACTGACATTTAAAGGCTTCCTATGAATAAAAGAACTAATGAATGAATGAAACCCATTAGACAGACCATTTTGATGTTTGCTAGCTATTAAAGTGATCTCTAGTTGATTTCATGTGCTTAAATTCAGTCATCTATTCACTGTAAAGCTCTAGCAGGTATGATGCCTATAGACAGATTTCTACATTTTATCCTTACTTTAAACTCTTCCCTGTGCAAGAGCCAGTGACTACACAGTTGCAGATGAAGTTCTTTAGTGATTCTGAGATGGCTGGAGAAACAGCTGTTCAAGCATGAGGACCCAAGTGTTCATCCTCATAGCATGCATAAAGCTAGACTCAGTACCACATGTCTATAATACCAGTGTCCCAGAGGCAAGATGGCAGCAGAGACAGAGAACTCCAGATGCTCACATGCACCAAACAAGAAACCCTGGCACACACACACACACACACACACACACACACACACACACACATTTTGGTGTTTTTAATTGGGGAGGGACAGGAGAGAAGAGGCAAGGTGAGGTGAGGAGGGGTGAAATCCCTACTCTTGCAGAGTTTTCTGAAGGAGAGCTTATTTGGGGGCTAGGCTTACAATGTGTCACTGTACATTTTAGGCTGATTATTAACGTTATTTTCAAATGCAGTTTGAAATGAAGAAAATGTAAAAGCTGAAATGTTTAAGTAGATTTGTATATACTTTTTCTCCCTCTCTGTTACTCTTTTCAGCTGTGTGTGTAGCACTTTGTATAAAGTTTTATGTGACACAGAGTTTTCTTTTGGGAATATCAAACAATAAAAACAGCATCAGTTTGTAAGGGATATAAACTGGAGCAAGATCTGGGAGCTAGTCCTGCCTATAGTCTAATTGGGTAACTTCAACAAGTAATTTTCCTGTTAGGACTTCAAATCTTCTGTTCAATGAAAGAATTAGGTAATATAGTCCATGGGTTTCCTATGCCTCTGTAATCTCAATCACGACTTGTGCTGCAGAGTCAGAATCAGAGGGATGTAACATGGGAAATCCAGTATGTTAGAACATTGAAGCTGTTGACAGGAAATATTGAGTAGTGTGCTTCACCCAGATTCCTTGGTCTTTGGGGGATACAATAAACATATGGAAGGTAAAGGAAAGGTCTAAAGTTCTAGGAGAAGTAGTCTTCCAGCTCATATTAATGTTATGAGTATTAGTTTAAGATTAAACTATAAGATTATAAAATTTTATTCAAGAATCTATAAGAATTTTAGTATCATGATATTTTAGGGAAAGATACTCTTTCAACTTGGAAAATTTACTTCCAGCGTTCTCTGTAGTAATTTTGTTTATAAAGGTGGCTTGACTCAAAGAGTATTAAAATTATGTGCTCCTGTTGCATATTTGGGAAATATGTCAGTGCCTTCCTACTTCTTGATTTCTTTCTTAAAATTCATAAACTTAAAGAGATGCCATATAAATTCTGTGTCATAGATTCTTGACAGGATTTTGTCATCCCCCACCCCCACCCCGGGAGAGGGGCTCTATTTCATTGATTTGAGTTTAAAGACAAAGAAATTGCCAACGCTAACACATCCTTTTGTTAAGTTCTTCCTTTGAGGCTTAAGCAAGCATCAGAGAAAGAGAACTGAGGTTAGTGGGAGTCTGGCCATTCCTCTCTTGCCTTCACTGCTTCATGATCACTAACTGAAGCCAGGCTTTCTCCACAGTTCACTCAGTATTACATCACCCAAATGTACCTTTGAATTGCCTGACCTCCACATTTCTTTGTGTGTTCTTGGTCTCCCAAGTCCCACCAGAATGACACATTAAGTTCTACTTCCAACATTCACCTGCTTTTCTATCCTTCAGTTCCAAATCCTTCCACATTCTAGCCACAAAACCCCAGTGGCCTAAGAGCCACATAGTCAGGCTTATTGTATCAACTGTGCCACTTCTGGCACCACTTTATCTCTTCCTTTCTTTTCCTGGCACTGTGATAGTAAAGTCCTCTTACAGAAGCCACTGAAGGAGAAAGAATTGCTAAGTCCTTCATGGCCAGGAAGCCAAGGTAACAGGAGCTGAAGCATCTTGTCATGTTGTCCACAATAAGAAAAGGGGAACAATGCATGTGTATAAGCTACTACTTAGCTGGTTTTCTCCCTTTTATATGATCCAGGATTCCTTGCCAAATCAATGTCCCTCCCTATAGCTAGGATGGGTCTTACCATTTTAATTGATATAATTAAGGTAATTCACCAGAGGTATGCCTGAAGGCCCATCACCCAGGTATTTCTAGAATATGTCAGGCAACACTAACTATAATACTGGTCCTCCATTTTAAAGATAGAACACGGACTCAATAAAGTAAAATGAGTTTCTTACAAATGAGATATTTGGACTGGGTAGGTGGCATTAATCAATTTTGACACATGTTAATTGGTCACACAGGACCTCTGGAAGTCACTTCCATTCTGTCTATGTTGCCCTATGGTTGAGACTTTGTTGCTTCTCATGGATGACTCAGCCAAGGCCACCTAGCCCATAAGTGAGGGGATAGAGTTGTATTAATTATCTTTCCATAGCTGCAGCCTGATACAGCAACTTAAAAGGAAGAATGATCTGTTTTGCTCACAATTTCATATTTGTTAGTCCATCATGGGGAAGAGGGCATGGTTGGGGAGAGCGCCTTACATTGTGGTGGTGAGGAAGCAGAGAAATGGAACACAGGAAAGGTACATCCCCAAGGAGATACACCCCTACATCCTCCAACTAGATTCGGCCTTCTACTTTCCCCTTTTCCTAATAATGCAGTCATATTATGATTCCAACAATATAGTCATTAATCCACTGCCCTCATGCCCTGATCATCTCTAGAAATAGGTTACAGACAGACATACATAAAACTGTGCTTTATCTCCAAGGTGTGGCTCAATTCCATAACACTGACAGCTAAGATTAAGTATCACAATGTCTTAAATTTTCTGATCTTTGTCCTTATAATGTGCACTTGATCTTAGCCAAAAGGCTGGGAAGCGATTAGAAATCATAATGTAAACTTAGCTTTTTCCTGACAAATTCCTTCTTTACTCACACTTAATTGAACATATAGAACAGTGGTTCTCAACCTTCCTAATGCTGTGCCCTTTAAAAATATAATTCCCCATATTATGTGACTCTACCTCAAACCCAAATATATATATATATATATATATATATATATATATATATACAAAAAGACAAAAAGACAGCACAGATACAGAGAAACAGG